GATTTAACTTATCGATATGACTGTATCGATATATTTATATAAATCTATAACTTTGAAATCATACAGACATGCGCACATACATACATACATACATACATACATACATACATACATACAATATACGTTTATTATACATACATACATATACATATTTAATTATTTATTACACATTACAAATTATTTGTAATTTACATTATAAATTTGTGTAGCATGCACGTTCATATTTATTTTAATTTATATTATAATCAAAGTCAATTTAATTTTTATTGTTTAAACAACAATGTTATCCCTATTTGGTTGTCGATCAAAATCAGGTAGGTCGATTATAGGTATGCTTTCAATAACTTGATATATCCATTTGGTGTACACAGAAACCTGTAATAAGATCAAACAAAATGATATATTTATTGATTTATTGATGTAATAAATAACATATATTTTATTATATATGATAAATTTTATATGCACAACATTATATAAAGAAACACTATAAAAGGGATCTTATGTTCATAAAGGGGTCTTATGTTCGATATAATGTATTTAATACACACATATATATATATATATATATATATATATATATATATATATGTTATGTTGATATACCTTTGTAAAATGGCATAGAAATTCGGATCACACATATTGGTACCCAATTTCCGTGGGACTCACAGAACGACTCCGTGAACTTCCCAGGCACTGGAATTCGGTCGCTGAAGCACCAAACCCCCGCCGCTGTCTCCATTACATACTCCAGTACCGTTTGCCCATCCAGCGCAGAAAGATGTGTAAGTTAAATACTTTCGAAAATCTCTTTTTTGATTTTGGCGACACTCATCGTCGGAAATAATTTTCATTGTAGTCATCCTCAAGACTGAACTAAATGTGTCATTTTCCGTCAGTCCCATTCCTAAAAAATTTCTCAGATTTTGGAAGCTATTAAGAAAATGTCTGTATATTTCTATTATTGTCATAAATTTAAATAATCTAAATTTTTCTAGACCTATCTTCTGAAATCTGTATAGTTATATTACTGTCAAAAAAAAAAAAAAAAAAAAAACAGCGATTTAGATTTTTAAATTTGTTTCTTCCTTTCTGTTTACTTTTATTTATCTCAGATATTTTGTGTAATGTTTAAGCCTTACCGCCAACTAATCCAAGTCCACCGTTTCTTTGAGATTCCAATAATACCACGTCGGAATGCCAAGGAACGCAAGCTGGTGCGACAACCGAGTTGACAGTCACAGCTTTCCTCAGAATCAACAATGCGATGTCCGAGCCATAGTTACTCTCGTGATCTTGATACGCGCTTTGCAGCTCGATGCTTTTCACGTCGATCACTTGTGCGTTTTCCCCTACTCGATTTAAATCACTCGACAGAATCCCGAAAGCGACGCGTATTGTGTCCGCCGAAGTCTTCCAAACGCAATGGCCAGCAGTCAACACAACGCGTTCCGTTATCAACGTACCGCCGCAAAAGAATCTCCATTGACCATCCTCGTGCGAGAAGAGAGTGGCTTGCCACGGTAGTGTCTCTTCCTTAACGACATTCCATCCCTTTACGATCAATGCTACCTCTAAGAATAGAACATTCAACGCACAATTTCTTTTAAGTTAAATTTAAAAATTTAATAAAGTTATTAAGTACTGGTTAATAAAAAATATGTATCGTGACATTTTTCTTGAATAGAAAATATTGATTATAAAATAAATAAAATATTGATATAAAATATTGATTGTAAAAGGATTATTTTATATATAATGAACTACACTTATCTAATTAGAGTTTTCATTAAAGGTAAACATGATTAATTAAAACCTGTAGTGTCCCTTATCCCGCAGACAGGAGTACAACTCAGAAGAGATTGGCTCCATGTGCCGTCATGAAGACACATGACACTAGACGAGCCCTTATGACGCTCGTAAAATGCTGGACATTCGAGGAAAATTCGCGTCCCAACTGGTAGGGCTTGATCACAAGATAACCACCCTTTGTGAGGGCCCCACATCGCCTCGCATTGCCTAATCGCATCATGTGCTTCTGACGGCGCCGGGCATGTTATCGCTTTCGTCTCATTTTCTGAGATATATTATCATGCAGATATATATATATATATATATATATATATATATATATATATATATTATACATAAAATTTAGAATAAATTAATTTATTCATCTATTTATATTTATTTAATGAATAATTTATTTAGTTAGAAAGTATTTTGTAGGTAGATAAAAAGTATTTTGTCTAGATTTACCATAGAAAAAAACGTTACTTACCAAAGATACAATACGGAATACTAGGAAACCACTGATTATTCTGACAATAAATTTTATCGGAACCTTGCAAAGAGCCTTCGACATCGCAAGTGTAATCAAGGCGCGTGAGCTCAGGAACAATCTCGCCTGGCCGACATCTGGAGCACCCACTCACGCTGTAATGCGTTCCTGGTTTTGCAGGAGGCAATCGGCAGGCACCTTCGGGCAACATTACCCCGCACAGAGATTCATTCTCGTCACTCCAATCGTGGCAATTAAGTCGAGAATTGCATTTCAATTCCGATCGAATGCAACCGCCGTAAGCGCAACGAAACCAATTTTCAGGACATCTGTATAAAGAATAATTAACATATTATCTGTTCATAAAGTTTTATAAGTATTTCATCATAGGATTCATAGGATTTCATTATTATAAATATAGTTTTCTCCCATAGAATCTTTTTATATCGTCACCAGTACTAAAAAAATACAAAGTTGATTAAATTAATCTGCCAGTATTTAAAATGACATTTTGAGAAAATGTAAGTAAAATGTTTTGATGGCAAATTTATATTTAAAATTACAAATATTATTTTCACGATAATGCGAAATGAAAAAAGAACTGTAAATGTTCTGATCTGTTTGAAACAAAAGATCACTGCGTATTTTTTCCTCAAATTAATAAAACAAACCCTCAAACCTCAAACCCTCTAGCAAAATGAAGCGAATCATAAAATCAATTTTTGAGCAAGTCCTAAAAATCCATATAATTCTTTATAAATTTATTATTATTTATCAAATTAAAATGTAATTACTTGATTTCTCAATCGCGAGTTATATCTAACGTACGTACTCACGTGTTTTGCACAATTTTTCATTTTCATCAGAGGCATCTGCGCAGTGTCGAATACCATCGCACGTTTTAGCCATCGGTAAACACCGTCGTCCATTCTCGCACGCGAATTCATCTCTGCAAAATAGAAAACAGATAAATTTTCAGTGCATCCACAATTATCAAACCCTCGGCGAGAGATAAATCAACCAATCAACCAACCGGCATTTATACTGTAAACATTCTTCATCCTCACAGTCAGCTGTGCATGTATTTGAGCCTTCGTCGGTGCCGTCGATGCAGTCCTTTACACCATCACAAACCACTTCCTGGTGAACGCAACCTCCGTACGAGCAACGAAACGTATTCTCGGGACATATATTTTCGCGGCAGATCGTCGCATTTTCGTCGCTTCCATCCGAACAATCTTTATAGCCTGATAGAAATCGGAGACAGCACAAGATACAATTTTCCAAATAAAAAATAAATAATAAGTATGAATAACAATAGAAAATAAATTTGTCTTGTGATCTCACGTCTCGGATTTAATATAAACTTGTTGCCAAAATTAATTTCATTACAGACCATTGCACACCTCGGCAAAGGGTATGCACTCTTGATAAACGGTGGAACATTGGAAGTCTTTATCGGAACAAGCCTCATTGGCATCTCGGTCACAAGAAATTTCGTCGCTGGCATCCACGCAATCCGTCAGACCGTTGCATCGCGCCGTACGACTTACGCAGGCACCGTAATTGCATCTATACATATATGTAGGGCAACTGCAAAGACAATTTTTCAACATAAAATATTTCCTATCAACTGTTATCAACTGTTATCGTCACGTTACCAGTTATATTATATCGAAAAGGTATATATACGTGCGCACGCGCATGCGTGATAGATGAACGATCGTGTGAATAAGTGAATAAGTACGTAAGACGTAAATTCGTAAATTTTTGTAAACTTATTGAAAAATTAGAGTAGAAGTCAAATACGTAAAAGTTAAAACTTTCTTCGAGTAGAAGCAGAACAGTCGAGTGAAGAAAAGCACATGATTTCAACTTTGTACTTTATCCATGTTATCTTTTAGTTGAAGGAATATCCGGATTCTTTCGACATGCTTTATTTAATGACTAATGACGAAAGTTAAGGAGAATATTTTCTTACACAACGTGACGACACAGTGTTCCAACTTCGTCCGACGAGTCCGGACAATGGGGAATACCATCGCAAATGTTCGCTAATGGCATTTCGGTGCCGTCCACGCAAATAAAAGTCGATGACGAATACACTGGACTATTTTCTTCTGTGGCGACATATATTTTACTAAATCCTGCAAATTTGTAAATATCGCAACTACCTCTTTTAGATCTTGAGATATATATTAATAATACCAATATATTCTCTAATTAAATGTCTTTAATACAAAATTATTTAACTATATTTAAACGTACCAAAAATTGTTGTAATTAATGTTGTTAATGCGATCATTTCCTAAAATGTTATTACTTGTTGTTAAATATTGAAATTATTCTTCTCGCGATGCAGAATTAGGCAACCATAGTCATCGTCTCTCTCTCTCTCTATATATACACTTGTAGTTATCAGATAAATTATTCTAACACTCGTCCGTACATAATTTTATAGCAATACTGGAAATTGCATATTTTGTTCGTCTAGTCACAATAGAATGTTACGTGAATTCTTTGTTATTATCCAGAACAAAGAGGCGCAAGTTCCAAGGTAGTACGTCATCTTCAGTACGCAAAAGTATATTTACATTCATTTTTTTTATTGATAAAAAATTCAGAATTAGAATAAATTTATATTTTATAAAATTTGTTTTGGTTATGTGTGGTTATATTTTAAATAAATGACTGAAAATTTAAGAATTATGCTTTTCAGTACAGTAAAGTGAAACTTCAAATTCTGATGTTTATTTCCCTTACAATGGTAATATAGATAAAATTTATTGCATCTGCATTAAAAAATTAATGAATAAATCTTCTTCGAAGAGATGTTCATTTAGTCATCAGCACGCCGACTACTTTCTCGGAATGCTATCATCATCCGATAAAGGAGTAATACGTTATTGCGTATCTTGGAATATGTATCATTGACGACTCGACGTCTCTCGTCATGACGTAATTAATACCAACATGTACATATACATTTTAAATACACTCATCGAGAACTCTTAGAAAAATAAACTGTGATAAATACTAAAATAAGAAAACAATAACTTAATCGTGTGTGCTATATGTAACTATGTATATAATTTACACTTTTAATACATTTTATATATTTTATATATTTACAACGCATGTAAAATTGTAAAATTTTATCGAAAATCCGATACATATATAAGTTGTTTCAAAATAAACTTATAACGAATGCTCCACTGCTTTCTAATGTTTGCGCCAATAATTCGATCATTGCAGGATATGACATCGTCGTAAAAGTAACGATAATACATAGGTATACGTATAGGGCGTGTGCGTCCGTTATCAGAGACTTCTTATCATTTGGTTCGTATGAAAAGGCAAACGGCACACCTAGTTCCTCTTTTGCTGTCCGTTGAGAAAAGGTGTCGATCGCTCCAGTTCATATCAAACTCTCGTTGGATATCGATTTCGGATCAACGATGAGGAATCTCGTTTGGATAATTTTGCTCATTGCAGCTGCACGTGCACAGAAATGTAAGTGAATATATTTTAACTTTTTATCAAACTCTTTTTAATACTACATTTTATAAAATTATCTATTCATCAATGATATCTGATAAATTTTGTATATTTTATGCACGGTAGTTTAAGTCTACGACAAATAATGATTTACATTTAAATATGCATATCTAATATCTAAGCCTAAATTTAAATATGCAAAAGCTTTAAAATTAAATTCAAAATTACATGATAAATGCTCTGATTTTTTTGTCAAATTATTTAATAAAATTTTTATTAAAAAGAGTATTTGTAATAGTTATTTTAATATTAAATATGTAATGTAAAAATATTCTGGCTTTCCTAGTTTTTATTATACTTTTCGAGAATATTACGCACATAACAAATTATTTTGCGTATCAAGTTTTATATTCCATAGCAAAGTCCAATTGGTTACGTATTGATAATGAAATTAATTATATTTAGTTATATTTATGCAAATATATATATAAAACTTTTTAAGTAATTAACATTAAAAATATATTGTATACAAAATAATATTATTAAACTCTTCTTCCTTTAACTTCTTCAAATATGTATATATTAAAGCATATATTAAAGCAAATAATCGAGGCATAATATTTATTTATGTAATGAGATAGTCATGTAATATAATAATATACAAGAAAAATAATAATATTTGCACAAAAAAATTTGAAAAAAAATTGAAAATATGATATATAAAAGAGTTTTTACATATATAAAAAAATCACGAATGGGAAACAAGTATTTTGAACAGTAATTGTAAAAAAAGAATTTTTCAATTCTTATATTAGATATATAAAATTAAAAAATTTTAACATTTTACATTACATTTTTACATACATTTTTAACTTAATTAATATGTATTAAGTAGATTTAAGTGCACGATTAAATTTTAAGAAGTTTGAGTCAGCAATTTATGATAACGGCATTACGGCATATTCTTTGCGTTATTAGACATCAAGTATCAGATAAATATCTTGAGAGTGATTAAATTACTTGATTGCAATTGACGTAATATAATCTTGTCGATATACAATATTTTACAATTATTATTTTATATTATATAGATATACTTGTTTTTACACTACACACACACACACACACACACACACACACACACACACACACACACCGCCCCCCCACACACACACACACAC